TTAGAACAAAAACTTGTGCCCTAAGTGGAAACTGAACCCTCTAGGTTCCGAGAGGCATGCACCCAACCCACTGCATCAACTCACCACTCAGAAATGTAGCTAAAACAAACAGGTCAAAATGTTTCCAAAGTAATCACAAGTGAATGAGTCAAAAAAATTGATGCAGATGTTTAAAGGAAAATGGAATACAGTAATACTACCAGCTATATACTGTAGCTACCAACTATGTTATATTTAGATCCTTAAATTCATTATTAATTTCTTTAATTGTATATATATATATTCCTAAATTTTTCCTTTAGTTGTAACATTCCATATTATATTCCATATTAAGAGGATTTAAACATGCACAGTAAACAGATTAAATGAAGCAATCATTTAATTAACATCTAATGCACCACAAATGTCACCTATCGATCATTTTTGGCCACTGAATCATATGCCATGGTGAAGTGCATTCTGAATGGCTATATCTGTATAACAGATCTATTGCAGGATTCAAAACAGATAAATATACACAAGTAAAAAAAACAGCACTTAACGATAGAAAATCATACTGCACATGAAATTGTATGATTTAATTATCTTTATACCGTAAGTGTTATTCCTTTAAACAGAATTTAGCTACAATCACAGATGCAGCAAATGGCAGCACCTATCACCAATAAAACTGAGTAGTTTGGGAATCCATCTTGTGCTATTCAAGTTTCGTTTTTTGGCATTGTTTCCAATAACCAAAACAGAATAATTTCATACATACATTTCTGTTAATGTCAGATGATACACAAAGCCTTTGGAAATTTGTTTGTATTCCTTTGAAATATTATGGGCTCAGTCTGAAACGGCCCTCAAATATTCCGAATGTTGCAGACAGCAAAGGTCCGTTGACATTATGTGGCAGACTTTTTCTCAGTATTTGAAGCTGTGTTTACTTAAAAGTGAAGATTTTGACTAGAACAATGTTTCCGTTAAATGCCAGAAAAAAACATTCTCTGCCGTGAAATTTTCACTGAACACATTTGTTTCACTAAGGTGACCGACCAGTGCTGCAGGGAAAGCTAACACTGCCATAGTAGCTGGCCACACCTCTACCTGTCTGTCAATCATTGCCAGTTGCCATGGATTCATGAACAGACAGGAGACCTGTCAATCATGCCCTCCTCAGGTGGTTCAGAATACTTAAGGTATGCATTGACAATGCTCTGGTATAGAGTTTAGCTCTGACACTTTCTTTGATCCCTATCTGTGTTGCCAAGTTCCTGTGTTCTCACTTGTGTTTCTCCCTGGAAACTAAACCCTAACTTTGCCTTGACCATGTTTCTGAATTTGTCTGTTGGTGCCTTGGACCAATTATTTTCCGTGCTATAAACCTTGCCTATTTGTCTCAGCTACGACTGTAGAATTCCCATTTTGCTGTCACTGTGCTGCATCTCTATCTGGCTTTGAAACATGCCCGTGTACCTAGCCTCCTACCACCTGCCTGCTGCTTTCATGTTTTGCTACCATCTCATCCCACATGGCCACATACAACTCATGGCCATTGCTTTATTCCATCTTAAGAAACAGACATGACAGACATTTCTCACTTAGCTTGCCTCCATGTTTAACTGTCCCAAGCTCTCCAAGCCATTGAAAAATACAGAGCTCACTTAGATGTCTGTCGCATATTGGTCATTCGAATTGTGTCGAGTTCTACAAACACTTAAATACCACTTGATGTGTATTGTAGAGTTCCACCCCCTGGCATTGGACTGTCTTGATTTTTTCCCCTTTACCTTTCACCAGGCTTACTCCTTCCTCTTCCTTACCATAACAAAGGGAGGGGAAGTCTCTATTCTGATTGCGTGCATCCAAACTCCACAAAGAAAGCACCCCAGGACTTGCACCTAGGATCCCATCACTATAATGCAGCAGTGCTAATCCATATTTTTTTCATATGTTAATCACCATAAATAATTGTGCCTGCTAAACATTTATTTTAAACACTCTTCTCTTACTATATTAGGTAATAAAAAATGTTTTATGTGTTATACTCACAAACAAGATTTGGAATGATACTCCATAGTACCAAAAAACATCTTATTGATGCAAAAAACACATTAGAAAGGTATTACAAGAGTAAAGTATAATACAAGTCATTGGTGTGCACTTATATAAAATTAGTAGGAGCTAATTTTCTCTCCTCTACGTGCTTACCCGGTAGAGTCAATTCTCTACAGATGTTTTTCCTAGTGTCGCCATGGAGCGTCATGAAAACATTACACAAAAAATTACTAATGAGCCACTCTTCCTTACAATGCTCATTATATTAATTGATGTAATACAAATGATCATAGTTTAAGTTCAGTAACATACTGTAAATGTACATGGGTCATGGCAAACGTACTGTACTTCAGCTTTCGGGCGAAGTGTTTGCAGTCTAAGGGCTGAAGGAATTTTGACATGCTCTCATCACATTTTTTAAAAACAAGAACATGTAACAAGACAATTACAAAGCACTGCGGGACTTTAGAAAGAATGCTGAACTTTTCCAGCTGGCATTCATTCTGTCTTTTTTTATTACAAAAGTCGGGGAAAGACAAAAACAATGCTGATTTCAACAAACAGCATTGCTGGGATACTGGAGGTTTTTTTTTCTTTGAGTTTACGGTAGAAGAAATTACCTTCCAAACTTGTAAATACTCAACACTGAAATGTCCGCAGTTTTAAATTTCAACCCAATTGCAGTTAATAGCATGAGTACAGTTTAATAATTATACCTTGTTTCCTTCTTCACAGCCATTGCGTTCGCCTACAGGTTGGACAATCGTGGACTTCGAATTTCCACATCCCATGTCAGAAAGTCTAGGATTGCTGTCCTGTTACAGCTCCGTTTATAGCGACTGCGCGAGCGACACAAACTTTCATCCTCTCACATTCTTATACTCCTGCCAGTTATGGCGACTGCAGTTGTCATGGACTCCCGGCGTTGCTACGGATCGTTGCTACAATAAATTTGACCTCACTGTCGAGTTAAAAGCCTTAATTAGTGTTCCCTGAGTTTGTTTGTAGACATAAGTGTGCAATATATTAATGACCAATCATTGTGAAGGTGGCAAAAGCGAAATACATCTACGTCTTTTCAAAAAGTTTTTAAACTACAAATGTACCATATTTCTTTACGCTGCTTAATTAAACGAAGTGTCATTATTTAAACTTAAAGCTCTGTATGAAGGGCACCCCCGAGGCTTTTGTGTAATGTAGCATTCCCATTTCCTTTTGTATCAGTAGGTGTAACAAACGCTTCTTACAAAGCACTGCACTAAAAAGATTAAACTATGTTATAGTAAAAATGCAGTAGATTTAAAACATGGTGAAATCATTGTAAAGTATAAAATATAAAGTATAAAAGGGTATTTATAAACCATGGCAAACTGTAGTCAGCTATGGAACACGATTAGAACATTTGGAAGAGTGTATTATGGTGATACAGGTCTCGTACAAATGAGGTGAGGAATAATAAGGTGGAATGGACTGGATCTGCCTCCCCAATACGGTCTTACAGGATTGATCTTCACTTTACAGGTTGGCATGGGAGTGTCAGTGTGTTAGTGTTGGAATGAAGAAATGGTGGTGTGGCAGCAGGTGTCGGGAGCAGTACTTATTTAAATTTGCATAATGCCTCTATAAGGATTGGTGCATTTGTCTTTTTTTATCCTTTGAACTGATCAAAGGACCTTCTTGCACATGTAACAGTTCTTGGGGTTTCCATCCTCGCCACTTCTGCCCTGCCAGTTCATCCCTCAGTGCCTGGGCACAAACCCAGGTCTCCAGCGTCACACAACAGGGAACTTGCCAGCTGAGCTAATGGAGAACACCATCAGACTGGGCAGATGAGATCCCTGTTATATGCAGGGGTATATTTGTTACACACAGACACTTGTTTATTACCACAAAGTTCTGAGCTGACATCTGGGATTGCAACACATGTCTAATTGGACCTCTGTGACTGTGACTGTGAGAGGGGGGCTCTAAAACAGGGTACGAACAGACAATGCATTGTTAATTCGTTAAATGACCTGGTTCTGCCTATACCCCAGACATCACAAGGACATGTCCAGCTCCCACCAGAATAAATTCTGAGCCCTTGGTGGAAAATCTGGAAAAGGGTATCATGAGCCCCACTGGGGAGTCACACTGAGAACATAGGAACAAAGAAGAGTTTGGTCAGACACTGACTGCACTATTGGACACGAGAGCAATAGGGCTTCCCCTACTGGCATTGCCTTCTCTCCCGTAACCAATATTGGACTCAGAGAAAACAGGGTAGTGAGGGGATTATAAGGCACCACTTTGGTTGGACTGAAGAAGATGCCTAAGACCACCAAAAGACTCCAAAGTACTTCTTTTCTATGGAGGAAGGAGGTACTCCAAGGCACAGAAGGAGCTGTTTTTGGTGAAAGGTGGTGCCGGTGGAAAGGTGACATTTCCTTTGAACATTACTGTTTGGGTAACTGAGGTCCATGATGTTCATGTGACTCTGTGAGAATGTGTCTGTGGGGATACTTTTTGCATCATGTGTTCTGTGCTTTTAGAGACATAGTGATATGTAGTAGGTGTTAGAAGAATAAAAAGGGCAATTTGATACTAATGCCTTGTGCTGGTTTGTACTGTAGATGCATTGGTAGGTCTATAAGATATAAAGAACCTGTTGCAGTGGGAAAAAAGGTCCTAGAATACTTAAAATTGCTAGGTGGTAAAGTGGACTACCTGTGGCTGCTTTACCTCTCAATCATTGCCTATTGTATGTTTCAGAGTCTAAATTGCATTTTGAGAGGGCCTTGGTGTCTGCTAACTTCTCCAAGAACATCCTCTATCTCACATGTCCTCGGGGGTTCTATTTCCAGGGTCTCTGGAGCAGCCATGCACATCAAGTACTGCAGGGGTATGGTGTGAGACTGTAGACAGACTGGTGTATAGCTAACTTTTCCTGGGCTTTTCTTGGGAAATGCATATGTGGCAGCATCACTCGTGTGATGGTGGGACATCACTTGGAACGTCCACCACCTTGACCATGTCCTCGAAATCCACAAGCCAGACATGGCAGTCAGTGTACAGGATAGACAGGGTGCTCAGGTGTTGTCCTTCAGTCACAGACTATCCTCAGGATCCAGCACTGAACCTTGATCCCCCCCAGGGGGCCAGCAGGCAGGGTCGCAGTCACAAACACCTCACTGCAGAAGATTGTCAGGCTTTTTGGGGAATAGCATTCTAGGGGCAAGTGCCACAAAGCAGGACACAGTACCAGTCACCCATCTCATCCCATAGGGAATATTACTCAGGTCAGACTCAATACCCTCGGCAAAATATACGTTTGTTTAAAAAAAAGATAACTTGGCTATCCCATCTGTGGGCAGTCATTGATCCAATACTGGAGTGGTTAAGAAATCTCATTACAGTTTATTTTGATTCTGCAAATTCAACAAGAATAGGAAAAAAACTTGACAGACAGACAAATAGGATAAAACACATTCATAATACATGACAGGACAGGACAGAATGTAAATGTGAGGTATAGAAGGGAAACTTTATGGTTCCATTTAGTACCAGTTACTTATTACATCTAAAGGAGGGATAATCACATAAATAATATGGGATGATAAATATGATAATGTAACCTTGAAAAATCAGACATGGTGATACTTTTAAAGTATAAATGTATTGTATATGTACGTCTCTTTGTATGTACTGTATACAGTGTGTGCGAGTGTGCACTATGGATTTAGATTTATTATGGATTTATTAAGGATTTAGAGCCCAAATTTGTTCTAAATGTGTAATTTTATTTTTAATAGTGCTTTCATTTTCTTTATTGATGTAGCGGCGAGGCTTATTAATAAGAAAGAATTAAGTGTTCTGAGCTTTCCCAAATGAGGCCCCATTTCTCTGTTCATCTCTGTGGTGCAGCCACA